ACTTGTGTTGTAGTTTTTAACACAAAAAATTAAAAAAAAAAAAAAATTAAATAGAAAAATCTTATAAGTATGTAAAGAAAATATATTTTTGTATAGCTGTACAATGTGTTTTAAGCTAAGTGTTATAAAAGACCCAAAAAGTTAAAATAATTAAAAAATTTTATAAAGTAAAATTATAGTAATCCTAAAAAAAGTTACAGTGTAGCCCAATGTACAGTGTTTATGAAGTCTACAGTAGTGTAATGTCCTAGGCCTTCATATTCTCTCAGCACTTACTCACTCACTCACTTGTACTCACTCGAACTCACTCACCCAGAACAACTTCCAGTCTTGCAAGCTCCGTTTATCCTATGGAGATGACCATTTTTTATCTTTTATACTGTATTTTTACTGTACCTTTTCTGTGCTTAGATATGTTTAAATACACAAACATTTAGTCATTGTGTTCTAATTGCCAAGTATTCAATACAGTGACATGCTGTACAGGGTTGTAGCTAGGATCCGTAGGCCATACCATACAGCCTAGGTGTGTAGCAGGGCCTACCATCGAGGTTTATATAAGGTACACCCTATGGTTCTCACAACATTGCCTGACACATTTTTCAGAATTATCCCCACTGTTAAGTGGCATATGATTGTATTTAGTTGGGTGCAGCCAATCTACAGAATTGTAAGCAATAAAACACTTGTTGTCTTAAGCTCTTGGATTTTGGGGTGATTAAGCAGCAGTAGATAACCAAAACAATGGGGTATGAGAGCCTGGGCCTACGTCACATGATATAATCTGCAGATTTTCACTCAATACCCTGATTTTAGAATGACTTCTTACTTCTCCTCTCTCTGTACTTAGATTCAGGAGGGTCTTTGGTTTGAAAATTTATTGGCTCAAATTTAAGTACTGATTGGCCTCAACATCCCATTGTAGCATTCAAGATCCCTAACTTGATATAATTCAAGCCTAAAGTTTGGCATTGTGATGACCCATAATTTCCTAGTTCAGTGTCTTGACTCCAACTAGGGAAGCTTTTCCATCAAGCCTCTCCCTCGCCTCAGACATTTTCCTTCCCAATTTTCTCTCCACAGGACATTTGCATCTTTTGAGAAAGTAGATTTAAAATTCTTTCTGCATAATATCTTCTTAGGATTGTTGCTACTCCTGCAATTTCTCCAGCAGATCTAATATGAACCTCTGTCAGATAGTCATTCTTGACTGCTAATGATTTTAATGAAGGCGGGGTTCCTAGTGTCCATTACAATTAATGAATTAATTAAAAAGAATCAATTTGAACATTCAATTAGCTGTCTCTGATGTGACCTCAATGACCTTTTCTCTAAAAACTCATGACAACTTAGGAAGACATGACAATGTTTAACATAATTGAAAGCAAGGCTGATGTACAACATATGGTCAGATTATAGGAGGAATTTGCTAAATGTGATACAGATAAAGCTGT